ACGGGCACATCCCCAGTAGGAGGTGTGCAGGAGGCAGCTGATCGATGTTTCTCTCTCATCGATGTTTCTAGCTCTCTATCCCTTTCCCTTCCTCTCTGTAAAAAAAAAAAAAAAAAAAAAAAAAAAATCAATAAAACATTAAAAAATAAATAAAAGCGAGCGCCACAGAAATGACACACCTATCGATCTAACAGGACAGAGAGTCACAAAGCCAACCGTAAGAATTTAGTATATGGTATAGAGGCATTTGTAAATGAATGGGAAAGAATACACAATGAGTTGTTCTGAGAAAATCAGCTAGATCTTTGGGAAAAAAATTAAGTTGAACCCTGGCTCGCACAAAAAAAACATTCAAACAGATTAAAATGTCAAGGGTATAGGAGCCATAACAGGGCTCTAAGAGAACAGGCAAGCCTTCGGCACACAGCCACGTGACGCGGGTGCCGGCCTGACAGCCCAGCCCAGGGCCAGGCTGCTCACCAGCAAAACGAGGGCAAGTACTCCTATCGGAGCAATGACAGCGAAGTCACAAGGCCCTTACCTCATTGTTTCTTTTCAGCACAAACGCCAGGTTAGTATTCCCGCCCTAAGAAACAAAAGCCAGAGTTTAACATGTAAAAGCAGAGGGTCCGGGGGCAGGAATCCCACCCGGGGCATGTCTGGGTCACACTACCCTCCTGTCCTGTTCCCCCTCAGCCTCTCGTGCGGGGAAATGAATGTCCCAGGCTGAGCTGCTTGCTACTCGGGCTTGTCGGGAGCCCATGTTGGTCCGGGCCACGTACACACACCTCTCCCCAGAACTGGTCCTGCAGGGCCGGGCTGAGCCATGAGTATAAACATGGAGCTCTGAGCCGGGAGGCATCACTGCCAAGGGGTAGGGGCACTCCTAAGAGGATCGCGTGCTTAAACGTGTACTTTCCCCTTTGAATCAGTGGGAAACAAAAGCAGCGGGTCGGGGATCCAAAACGAGAGACCAAAGGGGGCGGATGTCAAAGGCCCTGATGCCAGAGTGGGTGCCCGGGAGGCGGGGTGCGCATGTGGGAAGACGTGCCTTTTTCAGCCCGCTGTCCGACTCGGTGCGCCGCAGATCCTGGCCGTCCTCTGCCTCCTCCTTGTCTCCTCCTAAACGAACAGGCAGGTGTTCTCTCAGCTGAGAGGCAGATCAGCCAGGAAAGGAACAACATGCACGGCTTAGGGGTACGCTATTCCTGAACCCCACTAAGGACAGAGACCAGGAGGCCGCCTGGAGGCAGCCAAGGGATCCTAATACCCTTCCTTCTGACGCCGCAGACCCGGAAGCAAATGGAAAGGCGAGAGTGTATGCCTCTGGCTGCAGCCCAGCTGAGACCCAGGATCCCTTCATTATTCGACGTGAACCTGACCCTGAGACATCACGGATGGCTGAGACAGGTGGCTGTGCGCTAGCCCAGGGCTGCCCGTAAAGCACACCCTCACTCACACGCTCACTCACCTTTTGAAGCATTCATCTGATGGCTGTCGAATCCCCCGAAGGTCTCTGCTCTCCGGGGCAAGGAGACGGGGCTCACGGGGCCCTCCTGCCCCACAGGGCTGCTCCCCGTCTGTCCGAGGGGGGCCCCCAGGCTGCCACTCACCAAACCCTGAAGGAGCTCCACTGGAAAGGAGAGACATGCAAAGCCCGCGTTAAAGGCTCAGACTTTTCCAGAATAAACTGTGTGGAAAAGGGTGATGGGAGGGGCTGTATGTGAAACCTTACACGTAAAAACACGGGAGCAATCCTGAGCAGTAGTGTCTACGGAGAGTCCTTGGCCATAAACCATGAAGAAATGTCAGTGATCATCGTAAGGGTGACAGTACCTCTCTTTTTAGAGGAAGGGAGGGAGCCGGCTCTGATGGAGAAGGGCTGCTGGGTGACGGGCCACAGTTTATTTCTGGACGTGGGCAGTGGCTACAAGGTGCTAAATGGCCCTGACCGTGTGGCTCAGTTGGTTGGAGCACTGTGCCATTCATCAAGAGGTTGTGGGTTCGACTCCCAGTCAGGGCACATAGCCAGGTTGCAGGCTTGATTCCAGGTTGGGAAGCATACGGGAGGCAACATCTTTTTTTTTTAAGATGCTCACCCGGTAGCTCACTAAAGTGAAGTATTTGTGTGGGGTTGTTTTCTGTAACTGTGCGCTGTGTAACAATAAAAAGTAACGCTGTATAAGCCACACTGGGGAGAGAAGGAGCACACTGAACGTAGATTACCCTCATTTATTGCACTTTTCATCAGAGGTCCTCCCTTGAGCGCCTCCTCTGTGTTGGAGCGGAAGAGGGTTCGAGGGCTGACGGTCGGGGAGCACTCCTCCGGCAAGGGGGTGCTGCACTCCGTCATGTCCCGGAAGATCCCCTCCTTCTCTTCCAGGAGGTGCAGGATCTGCTGGTCCTTCAGCTGGAGTTGTTCTGAGGCGGGCGGAGAAAAGGACCGGTGGTTTGATCCCTCAGTTATGATGCGGTGACTAAGACACGAGCGCCACCTTGTGGTAGCTTATGGGACAGCAGAGAACATAGCTTCTCCCCCTTTCATTTTCACCCTGGAGACTGAATCTTTTCCCTCTGTAATTTCTGTCTAGTCACCTCCCCTGGTCTTCCTAGGCAAACACGGGGGTTTCTGACATCACAAGCCAGCGCCCTTTTCCACGCCCACACGTCCCGCTTGCTCCTCAGCTTCTGCCATCACTACATCCACTCACTCCAAGGTCATAAAGGTGGTCTTTTACGTCATCCCTTCCAGCAGAGACTCCTCCATCCCGGGAGGACCCCACAGACAGGTCTCAGGCCGCTTCCAGCAGCTTTACCTTTTAGCTCCCGGGTTTTGGTGTCCAGCATTTTCTTTTCTTCCTCGTTCTCGCTGGGAATGCCCTCATCTTCGTCTCTGTTCCTAATCAGACCGACATAAAACGAGAGAGAGGAAAGATTCCTAAGACGTGGGTTCCCCCTGGGGCTGGCGGGCCGTTGGGAAAGCGGGAGGCCCGGGCGGCGGGCGGCGGGGGCTTACAGGGCGTTGATGGTGTCCTGGATGATCTGGATCCAGCTGTTGCGCTCCTCCTTGGAGCTGGCGTGGACCTCCACCATCTCGGGGTCCTTCATGCCCATGCTGATGAGGAAGAGCCCCTTTTCCTCGTGGGCCACCTCCCGCACTATCAGCTTCTTCAGGGAGATCACCGTGGACTTCTGGTCCTGGAAGGCGGGGCGGGGGGATAAAATGTAAGCAATGTTCACAAGAGTTTAACCCAGCGGTTGGCAAACAGCGGCTCGAGAGCCACAGGCGACTCTTTGGTCCCTGGAGGGTGGCTCTTCCACAGAATACCACGGCCTGGGCGAGTCTGCGTTGAAGACATGGCGTTAGAAGAAGTTTAAGTTCAAAAAATGGGGCTCTCCAAAGAAATGTCAATCGTCCTGTTGATACTTGGCTCTGTGGACTAATGAGTTTGCCGACCACTGGACTAACTCTTAGGGACAACTTCAATCTCAGATGAGACCGGATGCCTTTTTCTTTTTTTCTTTTTCTTTTTTTTTTTTTAATTGATTCCAGAGAAACATCAATTTTGAGAATCACTGATCAGCTGCCTCCTGCACACCCCCTACTGGGGATGGAGTTAGCAACCTAGGCACATGCCCTGACCTGGAATGGAACCATGACCTCCTGGTTTGCACGCAGGTGCTCAACCAGAGCCACACCAGCCAGGCAAGATGCCTTTTTAAAGCACATGATTCAACAATGGTATTTGTAGGACATAGATAAATATCTCATTATTTCACTTGCATTTTATCAAACAAAAAAAAAGCTCCACAGAGGGAATGACAATTTAAGGCTATGCAGGGTTGAGTCATGTTTTCTACATGAGGAATCCTTCCACGTTCCTCTCAGAATCTGGCTAGCAATATTATAAATTAGCACAATAGGTGAGAAGTACTCCAGTGACCAAATGTTCAAGGCTCTCAAAAGGATTGTAAAGAAACAGGGGGAAAAAAACACATATATATATATATACACACACACACACACACACATATATATATATATATTTGGGGGCATGGGGGAGTTTGGGAGAGGGATAGAAAATTGTTGTTATATAAGAAATGATCCAGACAAATTTGTCCTGAAATGATTGATTCTGAGAGCCTGGGATATTTCAATTCAGTATTTATGTTCAATTTACCCTAAACTGTCCTGAACACTGCTGTTAATTACAAACAGAAGAGGGGAATCATTGAGCTTACCAATGATGCAAAGACATACTTCTGGTCCTTTTCTTGAAGGAAAACTAAAATGTCCGTCAGCAGAACCGCCTGGACCTCTGCAGTGGGGGGAGAGAAGAGAACAACGGCTATTGATCAGGGAAGCTCAGGAACGGCACTTATTTAGTTCTGCAAAGACCAAGATGTGAAGAATAAAATACTTGAGGAATATAATTGGAGAGCGGGACTGAACAGATGTTAGACAGCAACCTCTTCCACAAAGCAGCCCCGGTCGCAGAGTTCCCACCTCCTGATTAGAGGGATGGGAAAGGCGTGGGATCGCAGCGAGGACGGCTGCCAAAGGTGATGCAGAAAACCATCCGAGTGTAAGCACACACTCTCTGACCTCACAGGCAGGTGTGAGCTCGCAGGCTCGGTGTCGAGTCCACCTCAGCCTCTCAGTGCCATGGCAACAGCCTCTTCTGCTCCTCAAGTAACACATGAACATCTCTAGCTGGATCTAGGAATCACAAGGGCACAGCCTGGCCAGCGTGGCTCAGTGGCTGAGCAATAACCAATGAACCAAGAGGTCGAGGTTCGATTCCCGGTAAGGGCACATGCCTCGGTTGCAAGCATGATCCCCAGTAGAGGGCGTGCAGGAGGCGGCCAATCCATGATTCTCATCATTGATGTTTCTCTCTCTCTCTCTCCCTCTCCCTTACTCTCTAAATTCAATATATTTTAAAGGACACAAACTCCTGATATAACCTTATCTATCTATCAATCAATCAATCTATCTATTAAAGGACACAAACTCTTGATGTAACCCTGTAGGCTAGGGGTGTCGAACTCAATCAGAGAAGGGGCCAAAATCTAAAATCCAGCCTAAATCTCGGGCCGAATGGTTTACTGAACAGTCATAAACTGTCATTGTGATGGAAACGCAGCGGAGTGCAGTGATGACAGCGCGGTGCGGGCCACATTGCAAGGCCTGGCGGGACGGATTTGGCCCGCGGGCCTTGTGTTTGACACATGTGCTGTAGGCGCACAGATGACACCCTGCATTACTGCCTTAAGGGTAAAGTGAGACATCTCTGCAGTGAGCCATCTCCTGGGCATCCTCTCTGGAAAGGGGACCCTGATTCCTTGGGGAGAAGGGCACTGACATGCACAGCCCCCTCCTGCCGCTGCTGCCGCAGCAAGACCCCCTTCCGGGCGGTCACCGCACAGCCGGGGAGAAAACGGAAGGATGCCGCCTCCCTGCTAGAGAAGGCCAGCTTTCCAGCCCGGGTGACAGTCCTTTTCCACCCACTGCCTTGTTCTTTTAAGTTTGCTTTTAAGTCACTCAGGTGCCTGCCTGCCAAAGAAGAAAGAAAAAGTACTCAAACACACGTTTCACCCTCGGCGGATCCTGAGGTTTACGTGCTCAGTGTCAGCAGCCCAGAGAAAACCCCTCACTTCAGCGGGCACCCACACAGGACGGGCTGTTCCTGGCATGGGTTCACGCGGGGTGAGAATGACTCAACACCAACCTCTGTCTGCACTGGCGGCCTTTCGGGTCAGAAAACCTATTGCTCCGCCGTGGGCTGGACCACAGCTGCATGCCAACAGCTGGGACCCATTAGTTGTTGTTCGGGGAGTGGATGGAGGGCTTTGGAAAGGAAAGAGTAAGGAGCCAGCTCCGGGCGGCTGCAGCTCTGGAAAATCCAGGCCGCAAAGGGGATGGGGGCAAGTGCTTCTGACCGGCCAGCAGCTCAGAGACAGCCGGAGAGGGCAGTGCAGACGGCCCCGGCCAGGCCAGTTGGGCTGTTGTCCTCCTCTTAAAGGGACATGCACCGTCTTCAACACCCGCATGCCAACCTCACCCCTTGCTTTGTCTCCTGAAATCTTCTTTTCCAGTGTCCCCACTACATTTCCCTAGAAACCTGCTGCATTTTTTTTTTTTTTAAATTAATCCTCACCTGAGGATATTTTTCCATTGATTTTCAGAGAGAGTAGGAGGGAGCGAGAAAGACAAGAGAGAAACATCAATGTGAGGGAAACACATCGATTGGTTGCCTTCTGCCCGGCCCCGACCAGGGCCTGGGCCAGGGAGGAGCTTGCAGCGGAGGTACGCGCCCTTGACCGGAATTGAACCCGGGACCCTTTGGTCCGCAGGCTGACGTTCTATCCACCGAGCCAAGGGCTAGATTTGGTGTGTTTGCATGATTTTTATAAGCTACCTCGAACCAGACCTTTTGCATACAAGATTAAGAACGGTTAAATGATGGTTGTTCCTGCATGATGTTTGGATATGTGCTCCCTCAGAAAATCCCGGTGGTGAGTTTTTAACAAAAATGCTTGGGGGGTTTTGCCCGCTGTCCCCTGGCACCTGCTCAGAGCGAGAGAGAGAGAGAGAGAGAGAGAGAGAGAGAGAGAGGGAGAGAGAACACGCGAAGCCCACCTTTCAACCTGCCCGCGGCATTCTTCAGAAACACGCTCCCGTCCCGCACCAGCTTCTTCCGCTTCAGGTCCTCCTTGGCGAACATCTGGCCGCTCTTCATCCTCATGATCGACTTGCTGTCCGTCTTCGTGTAGATCTCGTTCAGGCGCACTTTCTTCTCGTAGCTCGCCACCTTGCTGTCCACGGCTCCGATCACGTCTTTCACGAGGCTCAGGGACTGAGCCAGGTCCTCCTGCTCCGCCTCGTTGTCTGAGGAGGAAAGCAGAATGGTTTTCCAGGGCGCCTTTCAGACAAGGGGGGGGGGGCCCTGCCCTCCTCCCTCAGCCTCCTCCCCGTGGGCACGCTGTCGGAGCGATGCCAGTCTGTCCAAGGTCGTGTGCCCAGCCCGCTCTTGGGCACACGTTTGAATCTAAGCAAAGCTAGACGTTTGCAGTGGGAGAGGAAGCATACAATGATATGCTACGTTCTCGAGTAGGAGGAGCCAAACTGTTTTTAGGGAGGAAGAGGAGCAACTTGTCTTACTTGTCTGTGCCAGCTCCTCTTTCACATAACGGCCTACGCGCAGGATTAGCCAGAGACTGGCAGCCCGTGTGCGTGAGAAGGACAGCGGTCCCAGCGCTTACGGGAGGAATTGGCAGAAACTATCCCCGCCCCGAGACAGGGAGAAGCCATTCAGATCACGGCACTCTTTCCCCCAGACTATGAAAGTTTAGTTAGGAAGTCACGGAGGTAGAAGTGAGCCTAGAAGACATGGGCTCAAGGAAACAAGTTACAGAAGGGCCTTTGGAATCTGGGGGAGAGGGCCAGGGGGAGGGATATGAGCCTTGAGAGGCAGAAGAGGAGGTAAAAGTGTCCGCATGCTCCAGAGAGACAGACAGACAGACAGACAGACAGAGAAAAGGGAGGGAGGATAAGCCCAGGTCACTGGACGCTTGATGGGATCAAAAAGTGGTTCCTTTCCTTCTTACTCTGATCCACCCTACGTCTGCTGACATAATGTTTCAAGTTTTTGTTCACCCTCACTGGAGGATATTCTTCCATTGAGTTTTAGAGAGTGGGGGAGAGAGACAGAGAGAGAAACATGGATGTGAGAGAGAGAGAGACACATCAACAGGTTGCCTCCACATGCGCCCTACCAGGGCCACAGATGGAGCCTGCAACTGAGGTACAAGCCCTTGAGCAGAATGGAGCCTGGGACCCTAGCCACGGAGCCAGCCTGGCCAGGGCGAATGCTTCACGTGTTTATTAAAACACCACGGTTCTGGAGATAGAAACCCGGGACCCCTTTAGGCGCCTAAAGCAGGACCGCCCTTCTCCACGGCTCTCTGGCCCCGGTGCTGTGCGGGGCCGGGGTGCTCACCCTTGGTGCACTGCAGGAGCCTCTGGAACAGCACCGGGTACTTGGTGATCCGCTGCGTGACCAGCAGGATGCACTCGGGGATGCCCAGCCGCCTCACCACCGCGCTGCTCATCTTCTTCTGCAGGAGAGCAGGAGAGGGTCAATGCCCGCTGCCGCCGGCGGGCGCCGGGGAGGGACGGGGCCGGGGGTGGGTGCGGCCGGCACTACCTTCACGAAGGCCTGGAAGCGCTTGTCCTTGGTGTGGAGGTCCTTGAAGTAGTTCACGGACTGGTTGTGCTGCCCGCAGAACTTGCCGTAGGTCTTCTTCAGGCGCTCGGCGTTCTCCCCGGAGAACTGCGCGGAGGAAGGAGAGCGGGGTTAGGCCGTGACCCTCTGGACCAGCGTTTTGTACCCAGCTGCCAGTCTGTGTGCAGGACCCAAGATACCTCCTCATAAAGCGCCCTGAAGGGTTAAAAGGGGTGCCAAAACCGGTGTGGCTCAGTGGATAGAGCGTCAGCCTGCGGACTGGAAGGTCCCAGGTTCCATTCCGGTCAAGGGCACGTACCTTGGCTGCGGGCACATCCCCGGTAGGAGGTGTGCAAGAGGCAGCTGATTGATGATTCTCTCTCATTGATGTTTCTAACTCTATCCCTCTCCCTTCCTCTCTATAAAAAATCAATAATATATTTTAAAAAAATGTATTAGGAGAGAAAAGCCACTGACCTCATTTTCAGAAAAGGAAACTGAGGCTCGGAGAGAGAAACGAAGTTAACAGACGCTAAGCCGGGAGGCCGGGGCCCCGGCCGCCGAGCCCCAGGCCGCCCCACCCTCACCTGGTTCACCAGCACGTCGCCCATCCTGCGGATGAGGAAGTTCCTCTCGCTCCTGTCCACCAGGGACTCCTTCTTGCGCTCCAGGATTCTCTGGAAGAACTGGCTGTGGATGCTGATGAGCTCGTCCAGGCAGGGGAATAGCTTCTCCACCATCTGCTGCTCAAACAGCAGCTCGGTCATCATGCCCCGGCTGTACACGTCGCTCATGATCTTGAGCGTGCGGATGTGGTGCAGCTCCGTCTGCATCAGCTCTGCCGGGACAGGGGTCGGGGGTCAGGGGTCAGGGGGCGCCGCTGCAGGGCCCTCCTCCCAGCCCCCGGGGTCTCAGGCTGTCAGAGCCACGTTACATAGTAAGCCTCAGCCAGTAGCAGCCTTTCCTACAGTGCTCCCCCCCTCCTCCTCCTCCAGCTCCCCTGGGGCCCGCAGCAGGTGCTGGAGGCCCCGTCACCCGCTTTCCCAATCAGCCTTCACTGGAACTGAAACCTTTCATAATGCACCGTGTTCCTATTTCCTAGAAACAGGAAATGGTGGCCATCCCCTGTGCGGCGGAGGCAGAACACCGCCGGGGACTTCTCGTTCGGCCTGTGGCGAGAATAAGCGCTCACATTGAATAAAACGGCCAATGAGACGAGAGAAAACAGCTTTAGAGGGTGGAAAAGCGGTAGGGAGGAAGGAAGATCATGTCTCTATAGCTCCAAGTTTTGGAGGAAAATCTCTTGAGATGCTGCCGATGAGAACGGACTCTCACGGCCCAGGGGCACAGGCCCAGCCGGCGCCACGGGGCCGGGGGGAGGGCCTCACCGTAGATCACCTCCTGCCGCTTGACCACGTCCTTCTTCTGCTGCTTCAGGAACTTGCTGTCCACCACGCGGCTCCAGGACTCGGCCTCCAGCTGCTTGGACTCGCTCTCAAAGTCGCCCATCAGCTGCCCCTCGTTCATGTCTGTGCCTACTCCTCAAGACAGCAACGAGCCAGCATCAGGGCCCTGCCTCTGGGACCTCCCAGAAGCCCGGGTGCCTTTCCCGGGTGTGACCACTGCCCTGGCTGCAGACTCCGCATTAACCGGGGTGTGTGTGTGTGTGTGTGTGTGTGTGTGTGTGTGTCCCAGAACCGCCTTCCAGTGTGAGAACGGACCCACTACCTGTTTGGGAGCACAGGGCTCTCGCTAAGGCTGCTGGAATGGTGAGCATCACACAAACCAACTGTCATTCAGACACGATTGCTACGTGAAGTGGGAACTGAATGGGACCTGACCACTTGGCTGATTTAAGACAGAAAGTAGGCTTACCACTGAGCGGAGAGAGCTAGAACTTAAGGGCTGGGGCGGGAGAGTGGCAGAGAGAGAGAGCTTTTGTGCTAGAATATGTTCGTGTTAAACGCGAGGACATCTTTCAATGGACAGCTATCGAACAAGTGGGCAGGACTGATTGCCAATTTATCACAAAACACTGGGTGTTTTAGAGACGACTGAGACAATCTTCACGGGAATGAGGAGGAGGCAGGCGCAGGATCCCACCGACGCCTCCATTCTGGGCGGAGCAGCGGCACCGCGTCTACGGAAAGCGAGTGCAGGCCGCAGCTTCCTCTTACCCTCGTCCGTCAGGGACTCCGTGGACTCGTTGACCTTGACGATCTTATTCAGGGAGTCCGTTGAGTGCGACAGGAACTTCCAGGTGTTGGATATGTTCTCGTCATTGCCGACGCTGGGGACAAAAGAGCAGCGCGTCATATACACTGTGATGAGCCGTGGCTTGCGTTCTCCCCTGAGTGAACTCTGCCCGATGGGCTACACGACCCCGGACAAAGTTTTACACAGGGACCCAGGAACAGAACTACTAACCCAAGCTAAAGCACTTGACGCCACTGCAAACTTGAACTTTTTGAGCCTTGGGTTTTCTTAAAATGATCGTTAAAAGAAGGAGAACACTGCCCCCAACACAAACTGTATACACATTCTAGGAGAAATTTCTGTTGGAAACTCACAGTCTAACCACTGCCTTTTTCCTCCTGTTCCCCAATTACAGACTGAGCTCTTACAACACACTGGATTCTTTTTAAATTTTTAAAAATATTTTTCATTAAATTTATTGGGATGACATGGGTTATTCTTTTTTGCTCTCTTGACTCCCAACTCGCCAGCTAGCACAGCAGGTGCAGTAAACGTCTGTGATGTGACACAAGTGATTGGCACCCCTAATTCAGGATGAAATCACCTCTCTGCCTATTCCTACTTCTCGTTTTGACTGGAAACCACCCTTTCAGAACTCGGGGGCTGAGAAGCAGGGTGATGATACACAGAAGCACAGGACACCTGGCCTGATTAGGGGGCTTAAAGGGGACCCTTGTCACAAACTGTGGCCAGAGCAGTGATCACACGTAATCCTCCTCCTCCTCC